GTTAATTTGTTTATGGTGTTAGAAGCTGTCACCAACACAACAACCACACCCTAAGTTAACGAGTTGCATGACCCAGTGTCAAGGGATAGTCCAAGAACACAGGACAACTCGCCAACTGCACTGGCTAACCACCACCTCGGAACACGATCTGCAAATCAATTAATATCAAGGTTTCCAATTACTGCCGGGTAGACAGAGGCAAATGGCATAAAGAAATTTGACCATAGTTTCAACCTGCCCGAGGATTGAACTTGGGTTCGCTCAATTACGAGGAGAGCATGCTGACCATTACACACACACACTACTACGACTATACTTTGCTGTCACTTGGAATCAAGTATGGCGACAATCCAGCTATGATACAATGATATGAGTTATTAAAGATGTCACCTTCGTTGGTAAGCTCCGAGGTGACTAGAGAGACCGATATGGGACCGGCTGGGCCGTCCACAAATGTTACACATGTGAAGGGCTACATCTAATGCGGGATGGGCGGTGGCAGCGCCTCAGTATACAGTTGGGCTAACTCAAAAGTATTGACTCTTTTTATCTTTTCCATTACCTGCCAGGGTTTCATTTACCATTCGTTAGGTGACTGTAAAGTAGCTGTTTTGGCAGTTTACTGTTGTCCATACATGGATAATGGTAGCCTCGATGCTCCTACAGTTAGTCAGTGAGAATACTGGTATTTGTTCTTTGTCTTCCCAGCGAACCCATAGGATGGAATTTAGACTACGTTGGTGTAAGTTTTTAAGTGCCTTGAGGTGCCACCTATATGTGACCCATGTCTCGCGCCTTGTTGACCGGGGTGTCAAGGTCAAACTGTTGTGGATCCCCTCTCACATAGGCCTCATAAAACATGACAGAGTTGATGCCCTCGCCAAACTCGCGTCTAACAAAGACACCGTTAATACAATTTGGGTCTGTCAAAAAGAACCCTTAAAACTGTAATTAGGAAAGAACTTATTGATGAGTTTGACGCAAGTAGACAAGTGCAAACAGGCACTAGTCGATCCATAGTTTACCATGATGAGATGTATCAAGTGAAACATGTATATGGAGCAAGTAACAAGATCACTAGATTACAAGATGTTGTAACCGCTAGATTAAGGTTAGGATATAAGTACCTCTGGCAGTATGTTCCTCAAGCAGATGTAAACAAAACTAAATGTAAAGTGTGTGGCCATACATATGGCCACACACTTGAACACTACGTCCTCGACTGTGTGAAGATAGAACCTTTTAGGGACAGGTCCAAGCACACTGTGTGTGAAATGGCACAACACTTCATCTCTAATGGCAAGATAGCCGACATATTAAGATTGTATCCACTTTTTTGCACTCAGTAACTATATCAGTTCTCATGTACAGAACCAAATACGCAATGTGCTTGAATACCTCCCACGTAAATGTGAATAATAAAGTGTGAGGCCAGACATACTGCCTCACACGCCTGTTCTCACGCATTTGTGAATAAGTTACCCTCTATGTATAGAACTAAACAAATAATGTAAATGAAATACTGTGTAACTTTCGGTGCCATAATATCCTGACAACCGGGGTTAATTATTATGACCCTTTGTAAACCCTACTCTGTAATCCTTTTGCGCTACCGCTCACAGGATGAGTGTGGGGTGCACAATAAAGTAGCCGCTGCAAGCGGCAAAATCAAAATCAAATCACCATGTCTCGCTGCCATACAGCAGGGTGGGAAGGACCACTGACCGATATACGTGCAACTTTGTAGATAATTTCAGCTCCCTATACAGCTGAAGACATGGGTACGGAATTTGCCAAAGGCTTGAGATGTACAGTTGATCCGATAATTGAAGCTCTTCAGAGATGTCCACAGTGGTGGACAGGTTGGGAGCCAAGATACTGAAAGTGGGTAACATTAGAGAGGGTAGTACCGTTAACCTGGATAAATGATGGAAGTGTTACTGAACCAGGGGCAGGCTGAAAGAGAATCTTAATCTTACGTACATTCACCTCAAGGCTGAAGTGTGCATATGCATCTGCGTAGGTGTTCTGGAGCTCCTGTAGGTCACCTTCACTGGCTCGAGAAAGGAAGGCAGCCAAGAAAATGGAAAAGAGACTTGGTGCCAGTACACACCCCTGTTTAATCCCCGTTTGGATGGGGAAGAACTCAGATTGGGTGCCATTATGCAGGATGCTGCCCTTCATGTCATCGTGGAGTTGCCTCACAATGGCGATGAATTTTGGTGGGAACCAAAACAGCTGACGGTTTACCCGAGGGCTTCCTTGTTGACCGAATTGAAGGCCTTAGTAAGGTCGATAAAGGCCACGTACAAGTCACTTTTCCTTTATCTGCCAGGCAGCAAAGATCATGTCAATGGTGCCACGTGACGGTCTAAGGCCACAATGAGATTCTGGGTGGAAGTTTTCTGTCTCAGGAAGAAGTATGTTTAGGAGGACTCAGGCGCTAATTTTGCCAATTATGGACAGCAGCGAGATCCCATGGCAGTTGCCAGTCTGACCGATCTCCCTTGCTCTTATAAATATTGACGAAGGAGGCGTCTTTAAGAGCTTGGGGAATTTCTCCTTTTCCCATATAATCTCCAGGAGATGGTGGAGACAGCTGGTGGGCAGAGGTCCTCCTGCTTTATACACCTCGGCTGGGATTCCTTCAGTCCCTGTGGCTTTGTTATTTTTTATTTGCTTAATAGCGGTAGCTTCCTCATCACGGATGGAGGATACCTGAGGTGGGTCATCTTTGGGTGCTGAGGGGCCTGCTGGGTGGTCAGAACATCCACATCGGTGTTTTGGTTGAGCAGGGGCTGATAGTGCTCTTTCCAGTAACTCGGAACTATCGTCGGATTAGCGTTAGGGGGCCACGCCAGGAGTAGTTGGGCCATACATAGTTTGAGTGGAATAAAAAAATTCAAGCATCTTGTTCCACAAATTTTTGCGCTTCACAAACTATTTTTCTTCTGGCGGAATGTATCGGCTTTGGTTCGAGACCGAGGGTTGTTCTGCCAGTCAGTGAAAGCAGCACATCTGCCATCGACGAGTACGTTGATTTCCTGCTTATTTTCATCAAACCAATGCTGGTGTATTCTTTGGATCTGGCCGAGGGCCTCGCTGCAGGTTTTATGATGCCAGGCGTCAAGGATACCCCATTCGGCACTCGGATTTAAGTGGTTTGTTGTTGGGTTGTTTATCAGTCCATTGTCGAGCTGTTCTCTGAAAGCATGTGCTACCCCTTGATCCTTCAGTCGCTTGGTGTTAAAACCTCTTCTGGAGGCTTGTTGCCTTTGCCGTTTTGGGGCAACGTGAAGGAAGAATTTGGCTTTGACGAGCAGATGATCAGTGCCACAGTGGTCAGATCCACACATGGTTCGGGTGAGGAGGAGATCTCGGTGATCTCTTTCTCTGACAATGATGTAATCAATACAATGCCAATATTTGGGTTGTGGGCATTGCCAAGAACCCTTGAACTTGTTGGCTTGCCTAAACAAGGTGTTGGTGAAAGTGAGGTTGTGTTTAGCACACTTGAGGAGGAGTAGGCTGTTAGGATTACTCTCACCCACTCCATTTGTCTCTATGGTTCCCTGCCATTTGTCAGCATCTCTGCCAACTCTGGCATTGAAGTCACCTAGGACCACAACCTTATCTTCTCTGGGGATAGAGGTTAGCACTCTGTCAAGATCAGTGGTAAAAGGCCTCCTCTATGTCATCCTCTGCTTCCAATGTTGGGGGTGCACGAATATTTAATGATGAAGAAGGCATGACATAAGTGATTCATTGGTACTCGAAGCATCATGAAGAGCTCGTTGACCCCAACAGGCATTTTTGTTTGCCTATGTAGGATAGATTGGCGAATGGCAAATCCAGCTCCATAAATGCAATTTCTCTCCACAGCAGGCTTACCTTTCTAGAAGAAGGTATAGGTGGACCCCGTTCTGTGAGTCGACTGTTGTCTGAGAGAAGGGACTCACCAATGGCTGCTATGTCGATGTTATACCTAGACAGCTGTTTTGCCACAAGGGCAGTTCTTTTTTCAGGATGCCCATTTGTGCCAATATCCCGAAGAATCCTAACATTCCATGCAACGACCATAAGAGGTTGTATAGTCAGGTTGGCTTTTAGGCAGGCTATGTTTAGGGCACCTTTCCTAGCTCCTCCCCATGTGGGATGAGCCGGCCCCTGGAAAGGGCTGCCCAGTCGCACAGAGAGGACCGGATTGCACTGCTGTGCACTGCTTTCTAGATCCCAGTGCATAAACTACCATCCTATCTATGCCACCTATGTGCTGAGGTGTGACTAGAGACTACTAGAATTTATCTCTGCCTGTCCCCGTCACTACTCGTCTGTTGCCCTAAGAATTTTGGGGGTTTAGGGCTTATGATGATATTGATGATGATGAAAAGTAGGATGAGCTGGATGATGGCTGCATGTGAGTTGGTTTATGTGGTGAGGCAGGAGCGTAGGCTGTACCCACACATCTTGGGTCTCCCTTTTTCCTGATCCAGTGGTGCTGATAGCTGCAATAAGTAGGGAGAGAGGGAGTTGCAATGGACTGTTGATAGCCCAGTCTTTTTAACTTTCACCTTAGTAGTCTGACCATCTTCCATTGCCTTCATCTGCCGATCTAGTCGTTGGGTGCCCATGTTGGTTACCTCTTCCGCTTATTCCGCCGTTGGGGTCTCACTGGAGCTCTGTAGGCATGTCTGCCTAATGTGGGGTTCCACCACAGATTTTTCATTCGGGCCAGTGGGTGGTAGGCGCCAGGGTGTATCCACATGCCAGCAGCGGTAGCTGAAAGCGAGAGGAAGCAAGCAGTGCTTGCACCTTAACACTAACATAATGCTGCCACACTAGATGCATTACACCAGCCCATGTGTGCACACACGCACACACGCACACACACACACAGAAACCATTGACTATATTATAATTATTATTATTATTATTAATAGTATCATTACTACAACTACTACTACTAAACACACGAGACTGACCCTCCTGCCAATCACCAGAGCTTAAGGCAACAGCAGCTGAGACCAGACTGGAATACCGAAGTAGAGGCGCTGAGAAACTCCACACGCCAGCTCAACCAAGACTCTGACCGGCTCAAACAACAGTTAGTGCAGGTAAATTGAAGGCATCGGTCTAGTAATGAACGGCTTTATGTATGTTTTTCACACATTATGTCTAATTTGATGCGTTACTTGATAGTGAGGTAATGTACTGTCTGTTTCTTTTGTACCTGATTTTTGTCTACGTAATGATTTTTTCAAAGAATAATTATTTTATGAGGGTTCAAATGCTCTTTAATTTTTTGGTGTATTAGTTAGGTTGTATTAGGTTATGTTATGTTAGGTTATGATATGTTAGGTTATTTTATGTTATGTTATATTATGTTTGATTATGCTATGTTAGGTTATGTTAGGTTAGGTTAAGTTATGTTAGATTAGGTTAGGTTATGTTAGGTTAGGTGCATTGGTGTGTCTTTCCATTAAATTTAAAAAGGATCTAAAATTTATGTCCATAAACGAAATTCAACTAGAATGATTTTTTTTTTTGTTATATCCTTTCCGCCACTATCAGCTTACTAGCCGTTTAGGCCCTCTATCCAGTTTTAGTACACAAGGAAACCGGAGACCGGGAAACCTGTTATGTTTGGTAGGGTCACACTCATGTGTGTTCAGGCTTAGGCTCGAACCCTTTACATATTTGGCCAGAGTTACGCGCGTTACCGCTGTACCACCAACAATGGAATGCAGTGTCATTGGTGGATTAGTTTTTCTAATAAATTTACAGGTGTAACTAATTTACTCAACCTGTAAATAAAAAAGGTTAACTATACAAATATTTACATCAGTTTTCTTCTATCTATATATACCTCATAATTCATTAAGGCATCTAAGTAAATGTCAAATAACATCATCGTTGCTGAACACGACCAATAGTGCCCGTCTACCATGACTAACACACAAAAACACTATTAGAAAAAAAAAAGAGTTTGATGTCAATAGAAAGTTTCATAAGCCAAGAAAATTAACAGCAAAAAGTATTGAAAATAATTCAATACAAAATACCAATGAAATTATGAATAATACTGTAGTACATTAATCTGATACGTAAATACAGTAGTCACTAAAATATTGTGTCACCTTTTACCACCAATAGTATGACGTCAAGTTCTATCGTGCACAAAAGTCGTGTCCACTACCCAGCCACAGTGAGGGTTCGAATAGCCTCGAGTCTGAAGTTTCGAAACAGCTGGGGGAAATGCTATGGTCGGCCAACAGATGTCGCCCACTGTAGTGTATAGGGGGGGGGGAATAGAGGAGGTGGGGGTTAGTCTAGTAACAGGCTGTGTGTAGGTGGAGCTTTTTTTTTGTGAATTCCGCAATCATTGAGAATAATAAAAATGTCAGGAAGATAGTTAATATTATTAAACATGGTGATAGATGTGTAACGGGAAAATAAAAGCACTACAACGACCATATCTCTGCCGTTCATGGCTACAACGGTGCGACTGATGGGCACACCAGTAATTAATTCTCTGTGACTACCAGTAATGGTAGTCACGGAGAATACACACGTTGTTACCAAGGTTGGCGCCACCCACACCAGGGGAAGAAGGTGATGTCGAACACTGAAACATGCCGGGGTCTCATTCCTACCATCGTCGTCACCAACAGGTAAGTCACATTAATTTGTCAGCATAGCCCATGTCGTCCTTATACTATTGCAGGGTGTCCCATGAGTGACAGCAGATATTTGTAGAGGTGAAAGAATATGTGATATTGAGTTGAAAATCTTCTATACACATAAGCATTTTTCTTTATTCTTTAGGCGTGAGGTGGGTTGTAAAAATTACTCAGGGCAAAAATTTTGCCATGTTATATTTTATTTTCCTTGCCAATTGCAGCCATACTGTGTGCTGTTGTAATCCTTATTGGTGGATTACATAAGGCCTATTAATAGCGTGAAAACCCGTTTGAAGATTTTGTAATGTTCCATAACTTGCATTAAACAACATCATACGTTCACGAGTTCCAACTCCGCGCCTAGCCTCCCTCCCTTCCCCCCCCCACCCAACTATTAAACCTCATAATTTGAGCATCGTGGGTTACCACACCTAAACACTAATCGTCTACTTATTCTCTCCCCACACTCCCCCTCCACCATCCCCCCACTCCACTCCTCCCTCCCCCACCTCTTCCCTTCATCCCTCCCCCAAGACTAACGTCAATCGAACATTCCATCCCATCACATTACCTTCCCCTGCATTCCCCAACCCCCCTCCTCCTATTCTACCCATGGCGACGATTTGGACTACTGTAATGAACCCTCACAGAACCGACGACATGGCTCCTCCCCCTTGTAATTAGAGTTAAAACCTTTACAACAAAGGTCAATCCCACGTAACTTGAGCCGGATTAAGATATGTGGAAAAAAAACAAGCAACACCCATGGCCACCCCCCTACCCCAACCTAAAATCATAACCACCACGTCTCTATCTCCATCCGTTTCCCTCTATCTATAATAAAAAGTGTAACCCTACTCAGAAAAAATAATGAATGGGCCCTCCAAACAAATTAAAGATGAGGTGCACCCCACCCAAATAGGGATGGGCCCTCCATTTCCTTTCGCCTTCTTTTCTCCACATCCTTTCCTCCCTCCCATCGCCCCAGTCACCCCAACCAACCACCCAATACCATGCAGTGGGCAGAAGGCCACAGACTTTCTCTCCTAAAAGTCTGTTCCGTTTCACCCACATTCTTTCACTACTAAACCTTCTTCCCCCTTTTCTCCAGCATTTCACATTTCCATGGGAATCTCCTGCCTGACCTATTTGTAATGGTTGCCTTAAGAATTTGTAAATCCTGCACTCACTGCTAAACGAACTGAAAAAATCCATATATGTATGGAAGTTTTTATACTCAGAATCACACACATTCTTTCACCCCCACAAACATTCATGTAATTAGTGGGACAATCTTGTATTATAATTATATGATAAGGAGTTCTTATTAACTTCACCATAAATATATGAAAGTTTGATGTGCTATGCATTTGGTATATTTGCTGTATGTTACCTACCGGTTATGTTACACTCTTGCTGCAACCTGGGAGCTTGCTGGGTAATGTTATTTGAGTAGAAAAATTGAATCTCAGAATGACTCGATGAACATGAAGGAAAATTGCTTTTACATAACGAACTCTTAACGCAACAAATCCTATTACAGGATATGTAATCTGGGACGAAATTATGTCATAGCCGAAATTGTCAAAGAAATATGTAAAGCAGTGGAAACCTATATATTTGATTATCGAGGCTAACTACCCATAAAACAATTATATTTGACGATTGGCAAAAGTCCTGAAAATGAACCAACAAGTCAAAAGCTAAAAATGATCAAATCATCAGTTTATCCTTGGTCATCAAAAACAATCCTTCCTGACATCACGTAGAAACTATTCTGAACGCTCCAAGAATTGGGTATAATGCTGATTGACGCATGGCCAACTTATAAGTCTTCCCCTATTGGAGCAACGCTTATATGCTCCAACTGCCGTGAACACAAATAACAGTCCAACATATTCTCATTGAATTCTATTTATAATCGGTATCGAACAATGTGCTTCACTAACCCCAGCAGTGTAAGGAGGTTTAGCAGAAACCCAAAATTTTCCTAAGTTCAGTTTTCAAAAAATCTGAAATACTGTAATCTCCCTCCAAACAATATAACACTAAATTATAGAAACACAAATATATGTTAACTAATCCCTCCACAGCCCTTGTAGGAGAGACTCAAATGGTGCTTGCGGTCTGTTAAACTAAATCTTGATGATGGTGTGATGATTATCGGCGAATGTTCACTCTACAGTCGCAGGGGTGGTAGGAGGTTTGGGGGAGGGGAGGATCCACTTGCAGTTCGCACAGAATACATGAAATAGGAAGGGTTTCTTTTGGCAGTTGATCCTAAAAAATTTACCAAAAACGTTATGTCAGAGTAATAATACTTTAACCTAGGTGTTACTAATACCATTAATTTACTCTAGTATATAAAAGCTCGACTAAAGTTATCATAACTTAATATATTTCCTGCTTATTTCAGATATGCTGCCTGCAGGACGAGCAGCAATTTGTTTGGCAGCATTTTCATGGAGCGAGGCCAAATCTCGTCGGGATGGGGAGAGCTGGGGTAACTCACAAAGGAAATATTGCTCGTGATGGGAGGAGTACCAAGACGATGAGAGTGGATCTGCTGGTGGGAGGAAGAGAGGGCCTTGCGGAGACGAAACCTTTAGCAAAGCGCCACGAGTAACGTCGGCAAGGATGACGCGATCGTGGTGGCCCGCAACGCATGGCCCTAATGCGGAACATCAGTAAGCACAAGAAATCTGGGTTCAACTGCCATCATATTGATGTGACGGACACTGACTTCAGCGCGAAGCCGGGATCGACTGCCATATTCCAGCTCACAAAGGGTGGCTGGCTAACACCTACCACAAGTGAGTGCTCAATTTGGCTTTGCATTGAACACCACATCGAGAAGAATACTGAAGAAATCCACGGCCAGCATTGATGAAACGGTAAATAGGCCAGTGAGCCAGGCTAAAGGCAGTGCTGGCGGCCCCAACACACACTACCACATGAGAAACACATTCCAACATCGCGCAGTGAGTGGTAGGTGTCAGTGTCATTCTGGGGTGGATAAGCATGGGCCAGTGAACTGGTCAAGATCAATGGCCGTTTCACTGGTGAGCAGTATGTAGACATCCTGAGCAAGTGCTAATCTGCCATCCAGGCTATGGCAGTTCCAGCCCTGCCACTATCATCAGGCTGGTTCGCGACAACAGTCCCATCTATATCAGCAAACAGAACAAGGACTACCTCCCCAGGATCACTCCTGGAATTGGTGTCATCGACTGGCCAACACTAGGATGTGATATTAACTGGATTGAACATATCAGCCCTGGTAAATGTGATTAGATATTTGGGAGCAGCAAAACCTGTGCAGCAACAGAAGCCAAAAGCTTACGACGTGGAGAGGCGGCGCCTACTTAATTGTGTGTGCCTGAAGCTGGTCAACTCCATCCCTAATCGCCTTGATGAAGTTCTGAATGGCTGCATGGACCAAAATAAGATGTATTGGTGTATTGTTTGGATTTTAGTATTGTCGTAAATACAATTAATATAAATTAACTCACCTACAGTTATCATAAACTAATGTCCTTAATGATTGCTCCACCATTCGTATGAAAATTCATTACAAAGTAACTTAACAGCCACAAATTATGTATTGTGTGGTATACAATGATCTGTGCGATACGTCGAATGTGTTGTCTAAGTAAACACAATATAATGCAGTCATAATTGCTAACATCATTGAAATGCCTATGATGATCTTCCAGCACACAATATTAACGGTAACTGAGCACACTCCAAAATATATGAAGCCAGATATTGTGGTGGGGTGTTTAAAAGAATGGAGACCTCCTAATGACGAAAGGAAAGTTCCACCCTGGTCTTCACTGTGGGTGGGGCCCAAAGGTGTTGAGGAGAACCCATGCAAGTATCTATGAAAAAATGCCGCCACGGCCACTTCACGTTCCCCCTTTCATTGAGAGGAGAGGTTAACAAAGCTCATTCTTCTCATCAGCAAGAGCTGAGAATGGGATATAGAATGTCGAGGTGACGGTAACCCGAACAAAGTTCACATTGATCTTGATGTGGGGTCACTGGGCGTTGCTGTGTGGTGGTGGTGTAGTTGTAGGTCATGACGGGCAGGCTGAAGTTTCTGGTCATTGCCACGGGGCTTTCAAAGTCATGAGGGGCAGTGGTTGGAACTTGGAAGAATTGGAAGTCACCTAGATTAAGTCTGAATACTATTTTACAATACTGATAACATTTTCATTCCACTCTTTTTAACATAAGTATATAATTATATAATATTGCATATTACCACAAATATTTATTAAGCAAAGGATGGGTGGAATATAAATAAATATTACCATAATCTCTTTGTCGGAATAACAACAAAATTGTGACGTGGTCACTGAGTAAAACTAACTGGCTAAGGCCCTTCCCCCTGATCCTTGTATATTTCACTTTTATCCTTAATATATTCCATTCTTTAAAGTATCATTGTGACCTGAGCAGCAATAAGCACCCAGGGCACTGCACCTGTTCCATGAATTCATAACCATAAAGAAACAACTGTAAGACAAAACGTAGTTAAAAAGGCAGCTTGAAATTTTGGTGGTATAAATAATAAATAAACCTGCCTCTCATCCAGCCCCCACCTCCTCTATACCCCCCCACCCACCCCCACACGCACACTACAGTGGGCAACATCTGTTTGCCGACCATAGCATTTCCCCCAGCTGTTTCGAAACTTCAGACTCGAGGCTATTCGAACCCTCACTGTGGCTGGGTAGTGGACACGACTTTTGTGAACGATAGTACATATCTTACTTATCATAGACAAAAAAAAGAGCATCGCTTCTCAATGTAATCGATACAAAGAGTACTGCAGTTATAGTTTAAACACCAGAAAATAACACACCAATGTTAGTAAACATCAGAATATTGAAAATGATTCCCATAAACCTCACGACCCGTAGAATTTAGTAACCATTCGCGGCTGTTTGGCCTTGATGATAGCCCGAGCCTGAACCAACGACCTCTAGGACAGAAGATGGTCAATGCATCCGTTCGACCATTAGTTTATCACCCTAGCGTGAGATGTACTAGTTTGATATTATTCCATCATGAGTGTAAATCGTAAAATATCACCCTGATGCTAGTGAAGATGTCTGACGTCACTACTGTCGGTGTAAACCTCAAAATACTTAACAGCATCATTATAAGCACCAAAATAATTTAAATACCAAAATACCGTTAACACTAAATACTGTAAATACCAGAATAGTCTAAAACATTGCTAGTATAAACACCAGAACCTGGATACCTTCCCCTTACTAGACCAAGCAGGAGGTGGCCACGGTGCAGGAGATACTCTTGGAGAAGGAGAAGGACCTGGAAGGCCTCTACGGAAACATAGGGGAGGTGGAGGAAAACCAGCAGACTCTGACCAACAACATCCGTGAGTTGGCGTTAACCGTCATCTTCCCCCTAGAGGAAACCGTCCAGATCATCAACCAGACTATCGAGGATCTGAGAGAGGAGCTGGATCAGGTCGGTTTGGGTGCATACCGTCACTTGAGTCCTCTTTACTCAAGGAAAATGTCTTTCTCTGGCAAAATTTTTAGCCAGTGTTGAAGTGTGTTTTTAACTGATGTTGTCGTGCATTTTTGACCAGTGTTGTGTGTTTTTGACCAGTGTTGTACATTTTGACCAGTGTTGTGTGTTTTTGACCAGTGTTGTACATTTTGACCAGTGTTGTGTGTTTTTGACCAGTGTTGTCGTGAGTTTATTACCAGTGTTTTCTCATGTTTTTAGCATAAATAACGCTTTGCTGTCCCGTTATCATTGTTTTGTGTCACGTGCTCGAATGTGTGTTGTTTTATTCGCCCTGCATACGAAGTTGATGAGTAATTGACATGTAGGTGTAGCACCATTTTCATTCATCTTGTATGTGACAATACATTTTTTTGTTTTGTTTATAAAGTATGAGCCATAATTATATATATATATATATATATATATATATATATATATATATATATATATATATATATATATATATATATATATATATATATATATATATATATATATAATATATATATATATATATGAAGCACTCTTGATCTCTTCTTTATATGTTATATATATATATATATATATATATATATATATATATATATATATATATATATATATATATATATATATATATATATATATATGTAAACTCTCCAGATAGCATTACCGGCATTCTTATCCTCCTTCTTGGTACTTTATGAAAAGGTCTTTCAGAACACCTTAGAGTGGTTGCTTGAGATAATTACTGCATTTCGGTTTAAGGAGACAGCCACTCAGTGGGGAACCGTCACTATTTACCAGCCCACTATGGGCTGCCCAACGGAGAGATCTACAGAGCTGACAAGTACTCAGATGGAATCATGCTTTGGGACTACACATGTGCTCCCACCTTGATGCCAACCTACTTTATGTTTCCCAGAGAGCAGCTGTGCAGGGAGGACGGCAAGTTCAAGGGAAAACCTGATAGAGGCAATGCTTAGGGTTTGAGCCACGATTAATGCTATCTCAATAAAGACAGAGACTCTGGGAATCTGAGGCCCTGGAGCTCCTGAATGAGCCAGACTCCAGTTTTATTGAAGCCACCGAGACTTCATAGCAGTAACTTGTTCCAACGCCTCAGCACAGTGATCTAAAGAGGGAATGTTTACTGCATACTAGACTGAGTTTTCGTCTCTCAGTTGAGAAGCTCGGGGGTGTCTTCGAATTGTGATTGTAACTCTTAGCACAACATATAAACAGGAGTAAACATTAATATTAATAAATTAAAAATACACAAAATAAATGAAAAAGGGGTTAGCAGAAAACATTATGAAATACAAGGTAGTTAATGAAACAGCTCTTGAGATAACCATAACAACACTCGTAATTATTGTTATAAGACCAAGGATATTTAGTTTTACATAGCTTTCATCTCCGCATTATTACTTTGATACTTAGTGAGAACGTATATAAGATGTTCGAATGGACAACAAAATAGAGAGAGAAAGAGTGTTTTCGTTGGTAACTAACATGCTGGTGGTGTCCCAACAGAGGGTCGGGAACCTGGAAAGAGATGTGGAGAACTTGAAGACAAGAATACCCACCAACAACAAGAACGGTGAGTAGCTTACTTCTTGTGCCTGTACTGCTGTTGTCTTACTGTTACTACTGTAGGCCTCCTCTTATAACTGATCAACGTCCTGTTACTGCTACAGGTATTTAAGTAACCTTTCATCATGTTAATATTAATTTGAGATTCTTTGATTCTTGGGTCATTGAGTTTTGTTATAGTAAGAATTCTTTGTTATATCCCAATAATTCTTTCACTGTTAGTTAGTGGAGTTATTTCCTCTCAGTTATGGTACGTAACTTACACTGCAGACTTGTTTAAAGGTGCTGTTGCACTGTTAATGATTTTCTCTTTGCCTACTAGCGTAATCTTTTGATGTGAGTTAAATTTATGTGTTTGTCGTCACAGTCATCGTATTGTTTATGTTGCAGGTCAGAGTGTAATGAGTCAGCTAACAAACTTACACTCGGACGTTGGCAGACTCGACGGCAGCATCAGCAACTTGGAAGGTAAAATATACGGCTTTGCTGCTCGCCTGGACATTGTAGAAAACAACCAGAATGACAACCGGGCACCATATGACCTGAAGAGACGTCTCACATCCCAAGAGAATGCCTCCTTTTACATGGACCTTAAAATAGAGGATGAAAAGAAAAAACTTCAGCAACTGGAGACTGAAATCGAGCAGAGAATCACAAATCTAGAGAAGAATATCAACCAGCAGGTCACGGAACTGAAGAATTTGAGGAGCATGGCCAGGGAGCAGGGAGATGACGTCTTACGCACGTAAGAGTGAATCTAAGGAATCAGGGATTTAGATATCTGAAGGTCAATGGATAATCAAGCAGCACCTATGGAGGACAGTATTAGGAGTCGGTGATAATTAAGGTCTTGAGATTACATATAGAGGGTAGCAAAAAAATACTAACTAGGAAAATGGAAGGAACTCGTGAGAATTAAGCACCTAAACTTACTTCACCCGATAATTAAAACTTTTATGCAACCTGTGGGCGTTTAAGTTACCTTAAGTCAAGTTAGATTATATTTTGTTATGTTAAGTCAAGTTAGATTAGGTTATGTTAGGTTAGGTCAAGTTAGATTAGGATGTGTTATGTTAGGTCAAGTTAGATTAAGTTATGTTATCTTAGGTCAAGTTAGATTAGGATGTGTTATTTTAGGTCAAGTTAGATTAGGATGTGTTATGTTGGGTCAAGTTATATTAGGTTATGTTCGGTTTGGTCAAGTTCGATTAGGTTATGTTAGGTTAGGTCAAGTTAGATTAGGTTATGTAATGTTAGGTCAAGTTAAATTAGGTTATGTAACGTTAGGTCAAGTTAAATTAGGTTATGTAACGTTAGGTCAAGTTAGATTAGGTTGTTATGTTAGGTCAATTTAGATGAGGGTGTTATGTAGGTCAAGTTAGATTAGGTTAAGTTGGGTCAAGTTAGAATATGTTATGTTATGTTAGGTCAAGTTAGATTAGGTTATGTTACATTATGTTAGGTCAAGTTAGATTAGGTTGTTATGTTAGGTCAAGATAGATTAGGTTAAGTTGGGTCAAGTTAGAATATGTTATGTAACATCAGGTCAAATGTAATGTTAGGTCAAGTTAGATTAGGTTGTTATGTTAGATCAAGTTAGATGAGGGTGTTATGTAGGTCAAGTTAGATTAGGTTAAGTTGGGTCAAGTTAGAATATGCTATGTAACGTTAGGTCAAGTTAAATTAGGTTATGTAATGTTAGGTCAAGTTAGATTAGGTTGTTATGTTAGATCAAGTTAGATGAGGGTGTTATGTAGGTCAAGTTAGATTAGGTTAAAGGGGTCCGTGAAGGTCAGATAAAAATTTAACATTTATATTCACTATATTCTTATACTAAGTTGTTCTATTTTTGTCAATATATACCAGATGTTATGCATGTATTTTTGGTTACTGAAGAAAACCAGTAAATCTGTAGGGTGGCATGGGATGCTACTGTACACGGTCAGGTAACATACAATCGTCATCGTCGTCAGGTTGTGCTTATGTGCATTTTTCTAGGGAGGGGGTCCATAGCTTTCACTAGATTCTCAAAGGGGTCCGTGACTCAAAAAAGGTTAAGAACCACAAGGTTACATTATGTTAGGTCAAGTTAGATTAGGTTATGTTATCTTAGGTCCAGTTTAGATTAAGTGATGTTACGTTACGTTAAGTAAGCCTAGGCTTGTTCAGGTTTGCATAAGGGTGTTTAATCATCAGGTGGACTAAACTGGGGGTTTTTAATCGCCGTGAGAAATGAGTTACCACAAAAATGGTCATTTAAAATTTACATGAAGTCCGATGAAGGGAATGAAAATCTACCATAGCTTGGAAATTAAACTCATTTCCAAAATAAAGGTTATGTAAACAATGGTTAACCTTTTCTGCCATTTACACTATTATCTTTCATATTGCTGCCCTTCATCTTACTGTCCTTTTTCTTACTGTCATTCAGTTTACTGTCATTCATTTTACTGTCCTTGATCTTACTGTCCTTGTTCTTACTGACATTCATCTTACTGTCAATCATCATTCTATCATTCATCTTACTGTTTTTTATCTTACTATCATTCATCTTACTGACATTCATCTTACCGTCCATGATTTTACTGTCATTGTTCTGTCATTCCTTTTACTGTCATTCATCTTACTGTCCTTGATCTTACTGTCGTTCCTCTTGCTGTCATTAATCAAAATGTCAGTCATCTTACTGACATTCATCTTACTGTCCTTGATCTTACTGTCCTTGTTCTTACTGATATTCATCTTGCTGTCATTCATCATACTGTCATTCATCATACTGTCCTTGATCTTACTGTCATTGTTCTTACTGTCATTCCTCTTACTGTCATTCATCTTTCTGTCATTCATCTTACTGTCATTGTTCTTACTGTCATTCCTCTTACTGTCATTCATCTTTCTGTCATTCATCTTACTGTCCTTGATCTTACTGTCATTGTTCTTACTGTCATTCCTCTTACTGTCATTCATCTTTCTGTCATTCATCTTACTGTCTCTCATCTTACCGTCATTCATCTTACTGTCCTTGATCTTACTGTCATTCATCTTACTGTCCTTGATCTTGCTGTCATTCATCTTACTGTCATTCACCTTACTGTCCTTGATCTTACTGTCATTCATCTTACTGTCATTCACCTTACTGTCCTTGATCTTACTGTCATTCATCTTACTGTCATTCATCTTACTGTCATTCATCTTACTGTCATTCATCTTACTGTCCTTGATCTTACTGTCATTCATCTTACTGTCCTTGATCTTACTGACATTGATCTTACTGTCATTGATCTTACTGTCATTCATCTTACTGTCTCTCATCTTACCGTCATTCATCTTACTGTCATTCATCTTACTGTCCTTGATCTTGCTGTCATTCCTCTTGCTGTCATTCATCATACTGTCATTCATCTTACTGTCTCTCATCTTACCGTCATTCATCTTACTGTCATTGTTCTTACTGTCATTCATCTTACTGTCCTTGTTCTTACTGTCATTCCTCTTACTGTCATTCATCTTTCTGTCATTCATCTTACTGTCCTTGATCTTACTGTCGTTCCCCTTGCTGTCATTAATCATAGTGTCATTCATCTTACTGTCATTCATCTTACTGTCATTCATCTTACTGTCATTCACCTTACTGTCCTTGATCTTACTGACATTCACCTTACTGCCCTTGATCTTACTGACATTCCTCTTGCTGTCATTCATCATACTGGCCTTCATCTTACTGTCCTTGATCTTACTGGCATTCATCTTACTATCATTGATCTTACTGTCATTCATCTTGCTGTCATTCATCATACTGTCATTCATCATACTGTCATTCATCTTACTGTCCTTGATCTTACTGTCATTCCTCTTACTGTCATTCATCTTTCTGTCATTCATCTTACTGTCCTTGATCTTACTGGCATTCATCTTACTGTCATTCATCTTACTGTCCTTGATCTTACTGGCATTCATCTTACTATCATTGATCTTACTGTCATTCATCTTGCTGTCATTCATCTTACTGTCATTCATCTTACTGTCATTCATCTTACTGTCCTTGATCTTACTGTCATTCCTCTTACTGTCATTCATCTTTCTGTCATTCATCTTACTGTCCTTGATCTTACTGGCATTCATCTTACTGTCATTCATCTTACTGTCCTTGATCTTACTGGCATTCATCTTACTGTCATTCATCTTACTGTCCTTGATCTTACTGGCATTCATCTTACTATCATTGATCTTACTGTCATTCCTCTTGCTGTCATTCATCATACTGTCATTCATCTTACTGTCATTCATCTTACTGTCCTTGATCTTACTGTCATTCCTCTTACTGTCATTCATCTTTCTGTCATTCATCTTACTGTCCTTGATCTTACTGGCATTCATCTTACTATCATTGATCTTACTGTCATTGTTCTTACTGTCATTCCTCTTACTGTCATTCATCTTTCTGTCATTCATCTTACTGTCCTTGATCTTACTGGCATTCATCTTACTATCATTGATCTTACTGTCATTCATCTTGCTGTCATTCATCATACTGTCATTCATCTTACTGTCATTCATCTTACTGTCCTTGATCTTACTGTCATTGTTCTTACTGTCATTCCTCTTACTGTCATTCATCTTTCTGTCATTAATCATACTGGCCTTCATCTTACTGTCATTCACCTTACTGCCCTTGATCTTACTGACATTCCTCTTGCTGTCATTCATCATACTGGCCTTCATCTTACTGTCCTTGATCTTACTGGCATTCATCTTACTATCATTCATCTTACTGTCGTTCCTCTTGCTGTCATTAATTATACTGTCATTCATCTTACTGTCCTTGATCTTACTGTCATTCATCAAATTGGCCTTCATCTTACTGTCATTCCTCTTACTATCATTCATCTTACTGTCATTCATCATACTGTCATTCATCATACTGTCATTCATCTTACTGTCATTCATCTTACTGTTATTCATCTTACTATCATTCATCTTACTGTCATTCATCTTGCTGTCATTCATCTTACTGTCATTCATCTTGCTGTTATTCATCTTACTGTCATTCATCTTGCTGTTATTCATCTTACTGTCTTTCCTCTTGCTGTCATTCATCTTACTGTCCTTGATCTTACTGTCATTCATCTTGCTGTCATTCATCTTACTGTCATTCCTCTTCCTGTCATTCATCTTACTGTCATTCCTCTTCCTGTCATTCATATTACTGTCATTCCTCTTCCTGTCATTCATCTTACTGTCATTCATATTACTGTCATTCATCTTACTGTCATTCATCTTGCTGTTATTCATCTTACTGTCTTTCCTCTTGCTGTCATTCATCTTACTGTCCTTGATCTTACTGTCATTCATCTTGCTGTCATTCATCTTACTGTCATTCCTCTTCCTGTCATTCATCTTACTGTCATTCCTCTTCCTGTCATTCATATTACTGTCATTCATCTTACTGTCATTCATCTTGCTGTTATTCATCTTACTGTCATTCATCTTACTGTCATTCCTCTTCCTGTCATTCATCTTACTGTCATTCATCTTACTTTCATTCATCTTGCTGTCATTCATCTTACTGTCATTCATCATACTGTCATTCATCTTACTGTCATTCATCTTCCTGTCATTCATCTTACTGTCATTCCTCTTCCTGTCATTCATCTTACTTTCATTCATCTTGCTGTCATTCATCTTACTGTCATTCATCATACTGTCATTCATCTTACTGTCATTCATCTTATTGTCATTCATCTTGCTGTCATTCATCTTACTGTCATTCCTCTTCCTGTCATTCATCTTACTGTCATTCATCTTGCTGTCATTCATCTTGCTGTCATTCATCTTACTGTCATTCATCATACTGTCATTCATCTTACTGTCATTCATCTTGCTGTCATTCATCTTACTGTCATTCCTCTTCCTGTCATTCATCTTACTGTCATTCATCTTACTGTCATTCATCTTGCTGTTATTCATCTTACTGTCATTCATCTTGCTGTCATTCATCTTACTGTCATTCATCTTACTGTCATTCATCATACTGTCATTCATCTTACTGTCATTCATCTTGCTGTCATTCATCTTACTGTCATTCATCTTACTGTCATTCATCTTACTGTCATTCATCTTGCTGTTATTCATCTTACTGTCATTCATTTTGCTGTTATTCATCTTACTGTCATTCCTCTTCCTGTCATTCATCTTACTGTCATTCATCTTGCTGTCATTCATCTTCCTGTCATTCCTCTTCCTGTCATTCCTCTTCCTGTCATTCATCTTACTGTCATTCATCTTACTGTCATTCATCTTGCTGTCATTCATCTTACTGTCATTCATTTTGCTGTTATTCATCTTACTGTCATATATCTTGCTGTTATTCATCTTGCTGTTATTCATCTTACTGTCATTCATCTTACTGTCATTCCTCTTCCTGTCATTCATCTTACTGTCATTCATCTTGCTGTCATTCATCTTACTGTCATTCCTCTTCCTGTCATTCCTCTTCCTGTCATTCCTCTTCCTGTCATTCCTCTTCCTGTCATTCCTCTTACTGTCATTCATCTTACTGTCATTCATCTTGCTGTTATTCATCTTACTGTCATTCATTTTGCTGTTATTCATCTTACTGTCATACATCTTGCTGTTATTCATCTTACTGTCATTCATCTTGCTGTTATTCCTCTTCCTGTCATTCATCTTACTGTCATTCATCTTACTGTCATACATCTTGCTGTTATTCATCTTACTGTCATTCATCTTGCTGTTATTCATCTTACTGTCTTTCCTCTTGCTGTCATTCAACTTGCTGTCATTCATCTTACTTTCATTCATCTTGCTGTCATTCATCTTACTGTCCTTGATCTTGTTGTCATTCATCATACTGGCCTTCGTCTTACTGTCCTTGATCTTGCTGTCATTCATCATACTGGCCTTCGTCTTACTGTCATTCCTCTTCCTGTCATTCATCTTACTATCATTCATCTTACTGTCTTTCCTCTTGCTGTCATCGTCATACTGGCCTTCGTCTTACTGTCCTTGATCTTGCTGTCATTCATCTTGCTGTCATTCATCTTACTGTCATTCCTCTTCCTGTCATTCATCTTACTGTCATTCATCTTACTGTCATTCACATTACTGTCATTCAAATTACTGTCATTCATCTTACTGTCTTTCATCTTGCTGTCATTCATCTTACTGTCTTTCCTCTTGCTGTCATTCATCTTGCTGTTATTCATCTTACTGTCTTTCCTCTTGCTGTCATTCAACTTGCTGTCATTCATCTTACTTTCATTCATCTTGCTGTCATTCATCTTACTGTCATTCATCTTGCTATCATTCATCTTACTGTCTTTCCTCTTGCTGTCATTCATCTTGCTATCATTCATTTTACTGTCTTTCCTCTTGCTGTCATTCGTCTGCTGCACATCTTGTTAACGGTCACTTGGTGGTTCTTCCTCCCAGGGTCATGAAGGGGAACAACGATTTCAACCCAGCGCTAATGTTCAACACTGGAAACCTGCCAGGACTTCCCGCCAGCCAGGGTGATTCAAGACCTGTGGGTCCACCTGGAGGGCAGGGTGCCCCTGGACACCAAGGGTTACGAGGACACCAAGGACAACCAGGAGGTCAAGGAGCACCAGGAGGACAAGGAGCACCCGGAGGCCAAGGAGCACCAGGAGGTCAAGGAGCACCCGGAGGCCGAGGAGCACCAGGAGGCCGTGGAGCACCCGGAGGCCGAGGAGCATCAGGAGGCCGCGGAACACCGGGAGGCCGAGGAGCACCAGGAGGCCGAGGAGCACCAGGAGGCCGCGGAGGACCAGGGGGCCGAGGAACACCAGGAGGCCGAGGAGCACCAGGTGGCCATGGAACACCAGGAGGCCGAGGAGCACCAGGAGGCCAAGGAGCACCCGGTTACTCTGGTTGACCCGGATTACCAGGTCCAGTCGGATAATTTCAACAGGTAGTGGAGACAGGGGCTGCGAGACTCCTCTGGGGAACGACAGATGTTAATGATGACCTCAATGCCTGCCTGGTGTGACCCATAGTATCACTGTACAATCGCCGTTACCCTTCTGACATTCTCAAAACTACCTTTTGCCCCCCCCAACAACACCTGCTAGTATCCTCAGCACTTGCAAGACTGCCACCACCTATAACACTCGCTACAATCACCAGGTGTCAGAACACTATAACCGTTCTTGCAAATTATGAGAATACATAATGCAATACTTGAAAAAAATGTATGAGTAGTTTTATTCAGAAGCAGTAAAGTATAAGTACAGTAATTCTTAGAACGTAAAATAATAGGAGAAACATGGCATGCCAGATGATAATTCAATGCCCAAATGTATTTTATTGGAGAACTTGAAAAAAGGTGATGCCCTAGGCCTAAATATAGACATGTATGTAAACCTTCTCTCCTGAATCAACATAAGACATGCACTCAACATGTACAGCTCGTCCGTCCATCACCAAGCAACAGTCACCAACAAAAATGCGATTCCAAGTGTGAAAATTAAAAGCCTGTGTCTGTGTTGGCAGGATGAGATAGAAAATCACGAATTATGTGTAATATTTCCGACTCGGGAAGTAATTCTCAGTCGACACGAAGGTAACAAACATGTGTGATCAATTATAAAGAATAGACAGATGTTTTATTTTCCATATAATTTCAATAATTACTTAGTTCATAACACTATATTTCTGTCCCCCTTGGCTCATATAAGCCTATAAATCTGCTTCGCTACTTCCCAACATGGTTCTGTAATTGTATATAAAGATAATAGTTTAAGCCTCATATATGTGGTGAGGAATTATCACTTATTTACTTCAGAGACCAGACGAGTCGTGAGAATCTACAACAGTTTTCCTCTTCTGTTTGGTATGGGGAATCAACATTAAAAACTGTTAGCACCATCAAATTATCAAATAGCGAGGAAATAGGTTATCATAAATTTTGAGATTACTTAAAAAAAACATTCAATTGTGAACTACAGTAGCTAAAAAAATGTACCTGCATAGTCTGTATGAAACAATATTAGACCACAGACGAAAGGTTTTGGGATATGCGTGTTGTCTCCTTACACTACAGTATATGATAGTAATCACTAAACAGTTAATTTATTCCTATATGCCAACTCGCCCCCTGTGTTGGATACTGAATGACCGTTGGTGAAGATACACATACCAACGCTCCCTAGACATCATGAGTAGTATGTATAATTTTGGAAGTCACGTGGACCCACCCTGTCAGATACTTCTTTTAGCTACTGTACATTTACTGTTTTCCAATGAACATGTGTCTTTATTTTTCTTACCAGCCTAACAGCTGGCTAGAAAGGTATTGTTTTCTTTCTAGGCATCATTTTGTACCTCACTGAGCCAAGAGCAGTTGGTAGCCCTGGTGAGGAATGTTGGTAGCCCTGGTAAGGTTTGTTGGTAGCCCTGATGAAGTATGCTGGTAACCCATGTGAGGAATGTTGGTAGCCCTGGTTAGGTATGTTGGTAGCCCTGATGAAGTATTGCTGATAACCCATGTGAGGTATGTTAGTAGCCCTGGTGAGGTATGTTAGTAGCCCTGGTGAAGTATGTTAGTAGCCCTGGTGAGGTATGTTAGTAGCCCTGGTGAGCTATGTCGGTAGCCCTGAAGATGTGTGCATCCTGTTGAATTTATCAAGTTCTCCCACACTCAGTCCCACATCCAACACTCACTCCCACACCCTCACATCCACTCCCACACCCCACACTCAGTCCCACATCCAACACTCAGTCCCACATCCAACACTCACTCCCACACCCCCACACTCACTCCCACATCCACACCCCACACTCAGTCCCACATCCCGCACTCAGTCCCACATCCAACACTCACTCCCACACCCCCACACTCACTCTACACCCTTATACTCACTCCCACACCCCTGCACTCCCCCAACGGCACTAAGTGACACATAGGTCATTAGAGAAAAGAAATGAAGAAAATTTTCAAGAAATGAACTGAACAGAAGACTTAATGGTCACAAACTACACAGGGAGGTGAGAAAAAAGACAGTGGAGATATTAATTCACCAAAAACATGAAATTATCTAGATTTATTGGAGGTGTGGTGACCTGCCCTAAAAGTGCATCCAGGTGTAAATGGATACATATTGGAAAAGTGAAGGTGGACAAGTGCAATGCCAACCACACTGTCCCTTTGTGTACCATAGAGAGCAAACTACCACTGCCTACCATAAATGGTACTACAGGTATTATTTAATATACAATATTTTTTCTACTACTACTACTACTGTTACTATATCATTTTTTATAGTCACAATTACTATAACCAGAATTACTTTTACAGTACTGTTACTACTATTACTTCCTCTAATACTGATACTACTTTTGTTACAAAAGCCAACTACTAGGAGGGAACCATAACTTTAGTTGTTAAGGCCATTTATTTATATAATTAAAAAAATATAATATAACATATATATATATATATATATATATATATATATATATATATATATATATATATATATATATATATATATATATATATATATATATATATATATATATATATATATATATATATATATATATATATATATATATATATATATATATATATATATTTTATTGAAATGTAAAGACACTTGCAACAACAACATCTAGTTCACTCAAATAGTCGTCTATCTTTATCTAAGAGTGAGGATTAACGCTTTTATTATTCCTTCCGTCATTGTAAGACTCGTCAGTGTTTTATTTGTCTGAGTTTACATTAGTAAATATACGAAGCACATGAAAATAAGCAAAGTAAGGGAGGCAGGAAAAAGTATTACTGTAATGTTGTCACTTATAAACGTCAATGTCATTAACAGGGGAGTTAACATAGTCACAAACAAATGACAAGGGTGCCAACATAGCCCCCCCCCCCCCAAAAAAATAGCATGGGTCTCAAAATAGCCACAAAGCTCTTCAATCTATTTTCTCTCTTTTTTTTAATATTCCATACCAATATTTTTCTTTGGCCAATTGTATCTTAGTGTCTATGTCAAGGTATAAATAAATGATGCAAAAAAGTGTTTATTAGTTTCTTATTACTAAAACTTACCTGAAAGAGGAGTTAGGACATCATCTTGTATCATCTCCGTTACTCCTCAATTGACCATTAACCCAGTACAGTACAATAGTTCCTGCGTCACCGAGGACCTGTAAAGGAGAATGAGGTAATTTTTATTTGGATCACATGAAGATTAGGCACCCTAACGTTAATCTTATGAAACGTAGCCTAACGCTAACTTAACCTAATGTAACCAATTGAACCAAACCTAACCTAGCCCCTCCAGGTAGTGTTAAGGTGTGTAATCCTCAGGTGAAATAAGCCGGGGTGTCAAATCTACATCTGATCCGTTTGTTCTAAAACATTAGGTATTTGATATAAAAAACACTTAAATCATCATTTTTGAGTAATTATGTTAAACAATTTGTGAGGACTTGTTTCATAGACAAAAAGACATGAAATAATAAATACGCTACAATAGACAGCTATAAAAATAGATATACTGTATAGAGGCTCAAAGATGTATAAAAATATCTTTAAAACTTTTCTTCTGCCATTCTCATGATCTTACTTGTTCTTCACCCTGATTTCTTTTTCATTCTTCAGTTTTTCTAATGCAACGCTATTTTCTATTTAGCTCAATTGGAGATTAAAGAATAAAATTAATACCGTAGTTGTGGTCTTCAGAGAAATGCAGATTCTGGGAGAATTCGTAAAGACAGCTTGAAAACAAGTGGAATAATGGACCGTGGTTGGCAATCCTCAGACATGAAGATGGCATGTTGATTGAATGACATGATCTTTTGGTACTTAATGAAGAACCATTACAAAAACTGACTAAAAAACAAGTCTAAAAAGGCGAAGCATATGCACTTAGAATTGATTTTGTAAAGACAGAAACGAAGTGACTGTTGTTTCCAAATAAAAATTACGGAAGACAATAAGGAAGATAAGCAGATGAAAAACTGTGTATACCGTATTTGAGTTATTTAAAAAGGGACATTGATTTTAATTTGAGGAAAACGCTGCTGAAATGCATCATGTGGTCATTGCTATTGTAAGGGTTAGAGACGCTGACGTTTTCAGAAGTCTTCGATATGTGGTTATACAGGTGCTAGGGTTATACGGAGAGAAAAAGAAATGAATTACCAAGCTTAACTAAAGAAACATCAAATTTACTGGCAATCAATAGAATAAGAAAAAATAGGTGGTTTTACAATGTAATTAGGGATAAAGGGATAATAGTAGATGATAAAGATCAATCAATCAGAGTGCATCCTTATTGCTGAGGTTTGGCGACCTCAGTCCTCTTGATGTTCTCGGGCTGGTTTTATCAATCCTCTAAGGTTTTGTATCTCTCTAGGGACCCAGTTTTTAATTTAATTCATTCATCCCAGTCTTTGCCTTCACCTGGCCCTCCAACCCTCAACTTTGTACAGTACATAAATATTTGTTATCATCCCCTCATCCCTAATTATATGACCAATGTAGTACAGTTCTTACATGATTTAATGGGAGAATGAGAAGGCACATGGTAACTCTTACTCAGGTGGTTTATTGTTGTTTTGTACCACGTGCCTAACACATGCGTGATTACACATTCTAACTTTGGTATGAAGTAACATAATATATAATGTATATACTCACAGATGATCTTCTGGAAGAGGCTCACGTTGTGACTCCAGCTCAATAGCCTCATCTCAACTCAGACGGTGGCTGCGTGTGGCGGATATTTGTGCCCTATAATTATATACAGTATAGTCTCGATTTACGCTGACTTGGTTTACGCGTTTGGTCATTTATGCGGCACCTTGCCAGACCGACAATGTTTATTTACACAGTTCATTCCATCATTTACGCAGGAAGCAGCACGGGCCGATTCTCACACCCTCTCTCACTACATCCTCACTTGCCCTATGACCTCCTCCTATAGGTCCCCAGCCGTTACCAACACCTCTTCCTCCCAGACCAGATATCCCTCCTCCTAGTCACAGGCCTGGCATTTGACATTATTAGGGACCTGCCACTCTTTGCCATAAACAGATAAAATGTACCGGGAACTTTCCCCCCACACTCTCATCATTCTCTCACTTTATGTAACTTGACAAAACCTATGACCCTTCAGGCTTTTACGCCCTTAATGTACGAATCATAAAGGCAAGTATGAACTTTTCATACTTGCCTGTTGGGCGCTGTAAACACTTCTGCGCTTCACCTTGCACAGGATGTAAGGGGGTGCCCAATAAACTAGCCCCCTCGGGGGCAAATCTGAAATCTGAAGCGGCGCGGGCAGGGTGCACACAAGGTCGCCCAGTCATCAAAACATTACCGAGTTCTTCACCCGCCACCCACCACAGCCGGCCCAAGTCAGTGATAGTGATAGTGAGGATATGGACTTTGAGGGGTTTGACAAAGAAGCCCTGCAAGCCTCTGTGGTGGATATTGATACAATTGATACAAGTGATACAGGCGAGGGCTAATAATCTGCCCTCTGCCTCGGAACCAACCCCCCATCCCCGTGTGCCCAGCCATCTTTTCTACTAATGTAAGTGTTAAAAAACCTAATATTATTGATATTTCTCTTAAATATTAATTGTGTGTGCATACCATCATAAAATTAAGATGTTATTTTAACTACAACGTACGTATTGTGTCAGAAAAAGTGTAGTTTGGGGGTCGGCCCAGTCTCTATTTAAATTAATCCCATATGTTCTGTTATTTCATTTACGCGTTTCTCGTTTTACGCGGATCTCCACGGGTTCAATTGACCGCATAAATGAAGACTATACTGTACTTGTTCTTGATTTTTCCAGTATTTATCTAATTTGCTTCAAACTTTTCCACCATCTCCACATTCACTACTCACACAGGTAACCCATTCCAGTCAACCATGAGACAACGTCCACATCATAACCTCAATCCTCGCACGGCTACAGGACTTCCAAAGACAAAATCGCCCAGTCATCTTACACTGGATTCCCAGTCATTTAGAGATCGGGGGAAATGACATGGCAGACGAAGCAACCAAGGCAGCCACACGTTTTAGAAGCATACACATTTAAGTTACAGCAAGCGTGCAACAGATCAAGAACCACCTCAGAAAGACTACCAAGCTCCACATCCAAAAGAGCTTCCTTGACGCATTCAACGCTGGTTCCCAATCAGCCAAATGGTACCTGGTGGCTACAAAAGGGGAATCACCATTCACAGACAAGAAAACACAAAGACCAACCCAAGTTAGCCTTCATCGACTACGACTAGAGTACAAGTGTACTTAGGAGACGATCTGAAATGTCGTCAGGGAATGCACCTACTCTCAGGAACCAGCGGCCAACCCACTGGAACACTATCTCCTCGACTGCGAAGTCACACACAGTCTCTGAAACAGAATTCGAAACTTCCAAGAAGAACACACAACACCAGCGGCCACTCTAACCCGAAAGGCCCAAACAATCCACATTCATCACCTTCTCCTGGTCATCACACGATACTCACCACCCAGATAGCTTAGGAAGTATCCTCCCCCAGCAAGTGCGAACCCCAGTTCGAGGGCGCGCCACTCCGAAACTGACTGTAAAGGCCTGGGACTTAGGGATAAAAATCCCTTGCCAGCCTAATCAGGATCTTATAAGTGGAAAGTCAAGAACCATGGTTTTCTGGGGGATAACAAACA